TACCACTACTACTTCTGCTACTATTATTATTATTATTAGTATTATTATTACTACTACTACTACTACTACTACTATACTACTATACTACTATACTACTACTACTACTACTACTACTACTACTACTAGTAGCAATAATAATAACAATAGCAGCGGCAGCAGCGGTAGTAAGAAGAGCGCATCAGGCAACAAAAAGGTGGAGACCCCAAAGCGCCTGGTGCCGGGCCGGGAGCAGCGGCCGGCGCCGGAGCTGGGCCTCCAGGGAAGTCACTCTTCGCAGCATTCTATAGTATTAATAATACATTCTACTGTATGTATGTTACATTACATTTTATTGTATCATGTTATGTTATATTATGTTGTATTATAGTATGTTATATTATATTGTATTATATTGTATTATATTGTTTTTATGTTATATTATATTATATTATATTATATTATATTATATTATATTATATTATATTATATTATATTATATTATATTATATTATATTGTACTATACTATAATATAATATATTATAGTATAATACATTATATTATATTATATTGCATTATAAAGGTAGCCGCAACCAAAAAAAAAACGTCAGCAAAACTCCCCCCCCCCAATCCACAGCCATTTCGCCTCTATGGTACCAGTGGCAAGTGGTGGTGGTGGTGGTGGTGTTGTGACAGGTGGTGAGAGTAGTGACGGGCGCAAATCCGGCGAACATAGACACAGAGCCAGAGATCCGACTTCAGGCAGTTGGACTGCCTGTAACCTTCAGTCCAAGCTACAGCTGCCAGCCATTCCCATTCCATTCCACGTTCTTGTTCACCGGCAGCTGACAAACAGAGATCTGGATTCAAGCCGCTTCGTGCCTGGAGCTACCGCAGCCACTAAGCCTGGTGACGGCGACGGGGCCACAGGAGTTTGCCTCGGGAGGCTGAACGATGAAGTGTGGTACCACTTGAGAAACGGGGAGTCTTTAAGTCTACGTCGTAGTCTACGTACTGATTCTCCTGGTCCTACTATGTTGGACAATGTAGGATCTACATGATGCTGCCTCAAACTCCCATATTCCTGGTGGGCAACATGGCTTCGAAGTTGGCAGTTCGGGTGGATTGCGGGTTCCGGTCGCAAGGCCCAGCTGAAGATTGTCAGCCTCATGTTCCTCCATTGCCAATATCAAGGGTACTGCGCGACATATTATGGGGTTTCATGCGTGGTGGGCCCGTCAGACAGGTCGCGGCAACGCGTGCTGCAGAGGCTGAATTGGCACGCAGAAAAGTGAGCCTCCGAAGTTCGATTCGGAAATCCAAGATGCTGCAGGAAGCTCAGCGAGGAAGCACTGTGCCAGGGGCCTCGGTGCCGCCGGGCCCCACCCAACTTCAGCTGCAGTGCGCGATCGCACTTAGGGATGTACCGAAAGCCTCAAAGTTCCTAGACTTCTGCAGCAACTATAGACGACGGGAATGCAGTATAGTAGCAGCCTCTACGATAAAAAGCATCGGCTCGGACGGCCAACGTTGGATTTGGAGCCGAGCCCGCGACTCATGACGTTTGAGGTTCTCTCAGGAACCAGCCTCCCAAGCGCCAGAGTAGAGAGCCCAACGGCACAACCCAACTGAGTACGCTCTACACAAAGAATACAAGACTGGACCTGCACCCCAACAATACCTACAAGCACAAGTTCGTAACCAGATACTTCACTGGCAAAGCAGACCGTACTACGTGATGGGCATCTTCTATGCTTCGTAGGTATGACTCTCGAACACACAACAGCTCGGGAAACCCGAAAGCCCACGCCCAAGAACCCAACAACCTTTTCAAACTAGGTGCTGTACCGTGACCACATGTGACCATCCCAAGCTCTGCACGGTTGACCCCAAGACCGTATGTGTTGGGGGGGGGGATCGGCAAGCTTGTTGCGCCATTCGGCTTAACTTCTTGCAAGGACAATGAGGAGAGGGAAGGCACAAGCAGACACGATCAGAAGAAGCTCAACCAGAAAAAGCACAATGGCACAGGAGCATGACGCCCAGTTGAAGGCTTCTGTCGATACGATCACCAAGCGATAAGAACGGCTACCCCAAATCCTGCCCTGATCACCTTGGCCACTCCAGGCGCTGTGCCAGCGAGGGTGCCGGTGCTGGTGCAGGAGCTTGCATGGGCGCGGGTGACGGCGCGTCACCTTAGAAGTGGAGCTTCTTCGAGCTCGGAAAGACGTCAGAGAGAGAGAGGGAGAGCGAGCGAGCGAGCGAACTTGGACGACAGGCGTGTACCGCTGAAGTCCCGTTCAGCGCATTCAGGTGGGAGCATGAAGGTGCTTCTTAGAATGTCTGGGGGCTTTTGCTTCGAGGTCCATGCTGAGGGTTCGTCGCTGGCATCGGTGGAGTCCGGAGGCTTGGGAAACGGGAGTCGGATCTGATTCGTCTTGTGCTCCCAGCTCACTTGGCCAGGTTTCAGGGACGTTTCTTTGGCAGATGGCTTGTTGAGACTCTGAGAATCAGAGTAAAGGCTTGCAGGAAGTCTCAACAGGCCAGGGCACCCGATACTGCAGAAGGTGCAGCGCAACGACCGCCCTGCCGGCGAAGGGAATTTAGATCCCGGACCGCTTTGCAAAAGTGTTTTCATTGTTCCAGCTTCGAGAATCTGGATTTGCATGGCTCGGACTCCTTTCCTGCATTGATAATTACCCCTCGAAAAGCTTGTTTGAGGGTCTTTACTGAACCCAGGAGGCACGATGCTTCATGTGGTCGTGGTTCTTGCGAAAGGCAGCTGCCACTAATCTCATCCCGAAGCCTCGCGTGCAGAATTGGAGCAGGGTGCTTGAGCATGCGAAAACGCCAATGAAACGGTGTTGCTTGCCGTTTGCAGCTCTCCAATGATTCATGCAGTCACGAGCAAGGAAGCTCCGTCTGAGTCTGGACAAGTCAGCGGATCACTGTCAGGCCGTCATGCCTGAGATGTTTTTGTCAAAACGCCCCAAAAGCTTGCTGATGCAGTCGTGTTAGCTGGTTACGAAACCCAGTGTCCGCAAGCGCCGCCTCCCAAACGCAGCGCTTCATCGAGCAAGCAAACTCATCCTCCGCACTGGACACGGCCGTGGTGTCATCGTCAAGAGGCCGCAGCAAGGCTAGACTTGAGGACAGTGTTTGAATCGGGTCCTTGGCAGACAGGCATTGCCCCATGGTCAGGAACTCCTGTCAGCGGACGTCTTGGTGCTCTAGAGCCGTGCGTAGTCGGACCTCCCGGCCCTGGCTCCTTTCCGTCGATCTTGATGGAGCTCGTCGTGTCGAAACCCAGCGCCAGGTCAAAGACATATGTGCCGGCCTCGTCCCAGGCACCCGGCTCCCTAAAGCCGGGATCTGGGAGTGGAAAGCCCTCTGCAAATGCAAGGCCCACCTGAAGGATGTTCACGGTCCCGGACCACTTCCCGTAGAAGCCTCAGAAGGCGCAGAGGCTTGAAAGCAAAGCTCCTCTAGGACTGGGCCTCTTGAAGCCTAGAACACGAAATCCTTATAGATCCTCGGACACAGTGAAAGCCGGGAGACCACCGGCGGTGGCATGCTGGGCTCGGTCCTGAGGGGAGAGAAAGCGAGGATCGGAGTGTCCGAACCCTCCAGGATGTTGCGGACGGATCTTGGCGCAGTGTAGACGTAAGGTTGTCCTAATTCTGGGCATCAATGCCAACACATCCTTTAGGAAAAAGTCGCTCGTGAGCGACGATTCAAGCAGCCGCGCAAGCCGCGTAGAAGGGTCCTGGAGATAGCGCTGAAAACCTCCTGTGAAGCCCATACCTTAGCCAGGCTTCGGACCGAAAGCTGTGCGCAGAATCCATTTCCCTGCGTAAGCTCAGTCTCGGCTCTCGGCTGCTACGAGTAGGGCGACTGCCAGAACTGATCTCACTTTAAATCGTCGGCTGCCCCTTTCGGTTGGCACCTTTTGCCTCAGGTCCGGACGATAGTCGAGGGCCCGGTCGATAGCCGAGGCTACAGGAAGCGGACCTGCAACAAATCAAGGCTACGCCTCTTCCTGGCTGGGGTCTAAAAAAGCGCCTCCCGAAGCTCAGGAACGTGAAAGCCACTAGCCTTTCCACCTCTTCTTTTTTGCACGCGGCAAGCCGGGCCCTCTGCTTTGCTCTCGCAGTGTGTTGCAGGTGCCGCTCGCTGGACACTCTGAACCCAAATCCCTGAACTTCCCAAGAGCCTACAGAGTATTGGCCGCTAAACCAAACCAGACCCGTAAATAGGAACCCGAGATCCCGATAACCGATCGAAGCCCCACAGCTTCAAGGCACCTGAGCAATCATCGCCCGGTGGAGAAGCGAAGAATCGTGCCGAGAGACCTGAGCCAATTGTTGTCCAATCTACGATTCTTTTCAACGCGGATAGGGCCCGTCTGCCTGGCTGACAACAAAGTAAGCCTATCTGTTGAAGCTCGACACAACGACTGTTTGGTTAGGGCAGCGCATGCTCAATCAGATCTCATCCAAGTCACCCAGCACGTCCGGCCGCTCCCTGGCGAAAAAGCTGAACAGAAATCCCACAATTCGAGGCCTCATGTCATTTGCATCAGGTTTGATCCGAAGGCTTCTGAGCCTGAACAAGAACCACTGGGCGAAAGCAGGCGTGGAACCTCAGGAAAGCCAGTCTCGCCCTTGCCCGTGGCAGAATGAAGTCACCGCCGAACATCCCAAAAAGGCTGCCCGACTGTTCTCGGCACGTTCTTAAGAATTTCAGTGACAGATGTTGTACCTTCACCACCGTAAGTAACTGCGCCTCTGCTCCACTGCAGCGCCCAAGATGTGCGCAAACTTCGAAGGGATTCGGTCCATTGGCGCCATCACCGGGGATGCATCGAGGAACTCCTGTGGAAAAACAGGGTTTATGATGGCTGAAGCTGCACTGCGGGTGACCATGGCCGAGGCCGAAGATCTCCCATGGTGAGGGGGAAACGACAAAAGGACAAAAGGCTCTCCTGTGGCAAAGTCTCAGTGGGCGCCACCAAGGAGTCCAGATCCAAACGGTCCTTCCAATATTCCACCGAGGCTCCGCTCAGGGATTAACTGTGGCACGCGGGAATCCGCAACCAATCCTTGCCCTGAAGCGATGTGGGTCTTCAACTCAACGTTCAGACCCATTCCCTTCAATTCGAAAGCTGGTCCCGAGCCGAAGCCTCATCCCATACACTTCATTGTCTACACTCCAAACAGCACAGCAAACCCCTCGCCGTCAAAGGCATTATGGAAAACACGAACTTACTGGAAACACCTTAAAACAAAACATCGAACAATTAACCATGTTGCAGGAAAGATGCAGACAATAAGCGGCTACGAAACAGCCGCCTTACGTGCAGACAAGGAGAAGCGAACGATATCAAAACATCGTACTCAGTACTGTTGCAGTTGCATGCTGCTGTTGAGGCTCGGCAAAGTGTGCCCTGAATGCTCTGACGTTCAATCAATGACTGACTGGCTGGTGGCTGGCCGGCTGGCTGCATGAATGGATGAGTTAGTAAGCGAGCGAGGGAGCGAGCGAGTGACTCAGTGAGTGAATGAGTGGCCTCCCTGTCTGCCTGACTGGCTGAGTGCGTACGTGAGTGAGTGCGTAAGACTCAAAACTTCAATCCAAACCCCAACCGAGATCAGTCACTTTCCCCAGTGATACACAATCACACAGACATTCCGTTCTGCGACTAAGACATTCCTTTCTGCGACTAAGTCCGACTGAGCCACAACTGCTTGTGCAGTCGACGACAAACCTCGAGTCCATTCTCGGCGTCCTCATTGCGAACAGTCGCTCTTGCGGCACCATCAGTGATTTGCGCCAGCATGTAGGCCAGTTGTCGTGAGAACAGTGACATGTGAGTGATTATTCTGTGTTTCGTTTGCTGCACATCAAACGCTGCACACAAATCATCACCGATCACTCTGTTGGATCCTTCCACGTCATCCATCATCATCTTCGCAACTGGTTTGTGCAATCCTACATATCGCCTCAGCTGCCATGACCAGTCTTGAACAGTTTGATATCTCCCCCAATCCTCTTGTTCCAAAGTCCATTCTCTCACTCCCTAGTTCTGGAGCCGAAGCTCCGCTACCATGTAGAAATCGAAACTTCAATCCAAACAACGCAACGAGCCAAGATCAGTCACTTTCCCCAGTGATACACAATCACTCAGACATTCCTTTGTGCGACTAAGCCAGTCTTGTCCAGTCTTGAGCCAAATGCCTTTCGGTATTGTGGGCATTCATAAGTGCGTACTGAACATTTGGGGGTACATTGGTCTGGTTACATTTAACAGAGTGAGTGAGTGAGCGAGTGGCCGGGTGGGTGAGTGAGTCAGTGAGAGAGCAAGCGGGCGAGCGAGTGAGGGAGTGACTGAGTGTGACATGGGCATCGTAAACCTGGTACATGCTGTGCATTGCAGCGGGCTACGGGAAGTTAGAGACGGTGTAAACCTGCAAAAGTTGCTCCGAAAGCATGCCCGATCAAGCAGAAACAACAAGTTACAAGTAACAGGACTACAGCACTGTAGCGGCACGTAGAACCACAATGCTGAAAATTACCAGCCGATGGACACAACAAGCAAGAATGTGGGTGGCAAGCGGAACACAAACTCGTCATAAAGTTTCCGTCATCATAAATATGCAGCGGACAACCCAGATCAAGTAATATCACACCTGTCCAGACGTAACATATGTACATCTGCATATACACACATGCACACATACGAACAGACAGGTTGACTGACGTAGATACAGGTACAGATACAAATTAACATATATAGTATATACATGTACTGACACAGACATGTATATTTGTTTATTTTTTATTTACACAGACACACACATCAGTAGCACAACCAGCAACGAACACACTATCGAACGAATCGAACGTACTAGCAGCGAGTGACCAGCAACCACAATGCCGGTGGACTGAGATTGTACTTCACAACAACTTGTTCTCAAAGTACTGCATGGACATCATACCGCAGCAGGCGCGATGAATGATAGCAACAACGAGGTCCATACACAATAAGACTCGGATCATCGCAACTACAAGTAAAAGTTGAACACAGCAAGCCTAGAGGCTTGACAACTATAGTTATAGACTGACCTAGGACTGGCAGCAATTCTGTAGCAAGAATCACCACAATTAGCTGTTGCAGCTTTTCTCCGCCACCTGAGTCGAAAACCTCTAACCCTGAAGCCCTTAATAGGCCTCGCCACAGACTCCGCCCCCGACCTCCGGAGCCACGAGCCGCCTGGAGGCCAGGGGTCGCTGACTTTCCTCGGCCGCTCGAGACAGGCTGCTGCTGGAAGTACTGTGCTAAGTAGTGCGCTAAGTCTGTGGGTCTCTGTGTGCGCATTGTGCATGCTTGTGCCTCTGTGATCCTGAGCCTGCTCGCGTCTTGTGTGTCGCTCACACTCCTTCTGTGAAGGCTGATCCACCTGGACCTCGAACGTCCAAACCTTTCATATCGGCTCAAGAGCAGAGCTCTTCGATCCAGATCCCGGATCCCGACTCCTTCGAGCAGTCCGCATCTGCATCCCCATGCTTCAAAGTGCAGCTACGTGACCACAGAGGCAACGAACTTGAGACCACCACCGCAGGCGCCTCGAGCCAAAGAGTGGAAGAGCTTCGGATGTACGCCCATGTACGCCAAGATTTCGCAAGTTTCAGCACCCAAGCATGCTTGCAGCTGTCGTGTTGCGCAGCGGACATGGATCGCAGAAACATCGCGCGACATGCTTGAGACTACATACGCTCCAGCAAGACGCGACATGTTAGTTCTGCTGCGACTGTGCCGAACTCTTATCCGAGTTCGGTCTGCTGCCAAGTCACAGCAGGCCGTCACAGGACCGTTGCCTTCCATGGCTTTGGACCATTCCTTGGGTAGTGTCCACCTTTCTCACCTCTGAATTGCCCTCGCGCCGAAAAATGCCATCAAACTGGCAATTATTGCTCGGGTGCTCTACCTGCGATCCATCGCCAGCCCGCAACATCAACGTTCGACTCCGTCGTCTCTCCGCTGTGCACGATGCTTTCGTCCCAGCACCGCAAAACGTGCTTGCATGAACTGTCACTGCCGAGCAACGGCAAAGGTGCCCCAGGTGTCCTGCAGCAGCGCATGACTGCGGAGTCTACGGTCTACCAGTCTACCATTCGTGCAATTTGGTGGGGGGGGGAGGGGGGGGGGGTTGGGGCGGAGAAGGTGGGTTCGAGAAGCCATGTGTCAGGCGCACCGAATCTTCTTCGTGCGAAAATGCGACGTTCCGAACTCATCCCTCCGGAGTGCAGAGCCACCACTGCTCAGTGCTCTGAACCTGTACCGGAATACAGTGCAGTCGACTGCATACTCCGCCTTAAGCTGCGCAACATCGGGTCTGCTTCGTACCCCATCTAGACATCAGCTTGTGCGCTGTGATCCAAATTACGGCCGGAGCGCTTTCCATCCAGAACCTGCAGCGCCCTGCGAATTGCACCAGTGCCCTGGCAGATTTCTGGATATATTCAGCTGCTTCAAGGAGTCGGCTGATGGAATTACATCTTCGGATTTCTAGTCCTAGCATCGACGTGCACGTGAGATGACATGTGTGCATGAAGGGGATGACGATGACGCCGACCGTGATGATTCTCATAGTGATGGGCTAAGTTCCGAGTCGTGTCGGCACTTTCACTTGGTTCCAAGCTCCGAAATTCCCCCACCCCTTTTGAAAGCGCCTGTCTCGTAGTGGTAGCAGCTATTGTTGTTGGCATCCTGCGGAACGAACCCCACAAGGCTTCAGGATGCTTCTTTGCAGGCTCGGCTTGGCTAGGGAGGCAGCCCTCAAACCTGGTGTCGGGGGGACATCGGGGGCTTTGGATTTGGAGGTCTCGAGGCTGATGTTGAACGTGTCTCACCCTGGTAGCAGGGAAGAGAAGAGACATGATGTGCAGGTCCGCTGTCCTTCCATGTCGCCGGAGAGTCGTGACATTCCAGCTGCTGGCCCCGAAGGGGTCGGATGGCTGCCTGGTGAAAACAGCGAGCTCCTCTCAGCCTGCCTGCGATTCTTGCGCATGTAGTGACAATGACAATTTTGCTTGTGTTGACGGCCGACATGCATGATGACTGCTTCTGAAACTTCTGCGTGGAGAGTTTCTCGATTTACCAAGTGTCCACCCCACCCCTCGCAAATGCTGCTGAGACCTTCCAGCCGAAGGCCCAAAGCCATCAAGATCTCAAAAGTTCGGCGCCTAAGACCCCGAGATCATGGAATCATACAGGAATAAACTCCTGCTCGCCTCACCCTTAAAACTCGGAGACCCCGGCCCCTGTTTCCAAGAGACAACCTCGCACACTCCGCTCCGCGCCTGCAAGCCTGGGCCTATGATTCTGGCTGTGGCTATCGTGGCAGGTTCAAGACCAAAGCCCAATGTCACGGAGAGCCTCTGAGCTTCCAGCGAAGGCGTTCGGAGTCTGCGCCTCCTTCAGATCCGAAGTTTCAGCTTCGGGCTTTTCCTTTGCAGGTCTTTCTGGCCAAAGGTATGTTGAACAAAAACGACGACGTCGATGCATCGACAACCCGACGACCACGATGGCCACAGTAGCAGCAAGAAGAAAGCCAAGAAGGAAAACCATGACGTCTTGCAGTCCAAAAGCAGCACTCACCGACAAGGAGGAAGGGCCTTGGGTGTGTACACTGGGGCGGAGCTCCCTGGTGGTGTCCGGGCAACGGCGGCCTCGACACCTGACACAGCGGAGCTTGTGGACTCTCGGGGGGGGGGGGGGGGGGGTGGCCCGACATAACATCGCGCCACAGTCTACGGAGCACGGTCATCGCTTGGACATTCGCAGAAGGTCGTCGGCGGTGATTGTGTCTATAAACACGTCCGAACGTCGCGAGTGAAATTTAGAACTGGAAGCAGATGATGCTTCACCCGACTGGAGGCAACTGAAAAAGTTTAGACCCTTTCGGCGGCCTTGACGCAACTGATCCTCGGGTGCAACAGGATAGAGCTCCGAGTCGAACCTGAGATCCGCTCCAAAGAGAGGCATCGGAATTTGGCTTGGGGCTTCGGGCTTAGGGATGGTGCTGTAAAACCTTGAGTGCATCAGACAATGAGCCCCCAGGCCCTGCAGGACTCGCACCAATTTCACAGGCGCTTTTCCACAGTTTTTAAGTAGTTATGAGGGAACCCCAGGGCTTGTTTTAAGGATCTCATAAATACTTGTGTAGAGGCTCTTATATTTCAAGGGCGAAGCTGCTCTCCCACGTCCGAAAAAAGGGGCGTGGCGCTTGCCTACAGCACAAGCTCGCAAGATCTTTCAGCTCCTGCCGTCGACATCAGTTGAAACCATGACGGCTGATTTTTGTCAGGGGTGCAACGACAAGTCCAAACGTTAGGCTTCGGCAATGGAAGATCTGAGACTATCATTCTCCTTTGAAGGCCGAGCAGCGTTGCAAGGGTTGGATCTGCGCGGTCCTGCGAGAGAGAGAGAGAGAGAGAGAGAGAGAGAGCAAAAAGACCATATCTGCCGTCTGCACAGGGCAAGAAACGCACAAGACAATATTATGCAGAACGCAAAGCGATGCTGCGCAAAGCACAAGCGAATGATCGACACAAGGTCTCTGTAAGAGATGCAAGTCACCTTACATCTCTTACCCTTACTTACGCGCTTGCCGATTCTGGGTGACGATCCTACCATCTTCTCTTTCCCATTATTTCCCCCTGCACCCCGGTTGTTTTCGCTCCAGTCCTTGACTATGGTGGTTTTGCCCGTTCCTGGAGGCAGAAGGTCACGACAAGTG